AATTGAGCTTACAGCACAGGCACAGCATCGTTTCAATCAGTGGCCCCAATCCACGGTCATATCTCGTTACACCAAGGCTATTGCGATCAAAGGGCGAAATTACAACGAATCTTCATTGGCTGCATAAATCAAGTTCGCCAATCAGCCGCACTCAGAGAGTTCAAGTCAAATTGGATATCGACTCATATGAAATTGAACTTAATTTTCTCCAGTTCGTATCGCTCTGTCCATATTCCAGTTGTCGAACGTTATATGGTCGAATCTCTCAACGAAAAAAACGCCCATAAAAGGAGCCAAGCGGGGACAACAGCTACCAACTCGAAGGTTGTCCAGTTGTCCAGTTGCCCAGTTGCCCGGTTGAAATTGTTGCCGTTGTTGGCAGCAACACGGCTGTTGTTGCTGTTGTTGCTGCTGCTGTGCTTGTTGCATGTGCATTTCCAATTCGAATTGTTTTTTCGGTAATCATTTTGGACTTGTTTGTCGCACAGGTGAAAACCCCAAAAACAAGCAACAACAATAACAGAAGCAACACCCCTCACAGCAACAATTGTGTGCGAAAAAAACAATAAGAAAAACTGTTGCATAACTGTTGCCAATTGTATAAGGGATTGAATATTTTTCAGTCTTTACTGTCACACCGTAATTGCATTTCGTTTTTCATTTCACATTTCTGAAGTTGACAAACAATTGTGCTTAACTTTGCCGTTGTACATGTTTGCAATATTTTGACAAGTCAGAGCACTACAAATTTATACATTCAGCCAGCCGGCCAGCATGAGTTGTGCTGAACACTATGTATATAAAATTCAATTATTTGCATACGAGTTTTTCAATAGGTTCTTCAACATATAGCTATAATAAAAACCATCTTGTTTAACTTATTCTATTTCTATTTTTAATCATAAAATACTTTCAGAGACTCAATAAAAATATTTTCAATTAGAATTCTGATTTTTATTCAGCTGCAATCACTAATCAATATCAATAATAACTCTTTATATTCGCGAAAATATTCACAAATATTCGATGAATATCCCATTGATATTTGCTTTTCTAACAACAAAAATATGTTGTTTTTTTTTCACTCCTAAATTGACAGCCATAACGTGTTACTGAATGTCCCCTAACTGTTTGATATATGTTTCAAATATCTATCTATATATATGCATATAAAATCGACTCTCGTTTGGCAAGTTAAGCCTTGATACTTTATGGACTAGTTACAATCCACAAATGCATAACAAGGTTCATAAAGACACTGATTTGTATTTCAAATTCAAATCGTTTTTAAGTATTTGAGAACTTATAACAGTTATGGTAAGTTCTAGGCATTCTTAAGTAACTTATATTCAATCTGAATTGTAATCAATTTACTAACTGATAAGGCTAATAAACGGCCGAAGCTCAAATCCACCTGCAATTGGCAAACGTAATCAGTTTACAATCAAAATTCTATCTTTTGCGTGCAATTTTTTGATAATTGCCATCGTTAGAGATAGCATTCGAAGAATTGCTTTGACTCCCTCTGCTCGTTTGAGATTTTGAATAACACTCATGGGCAAATCTTGAAACGCTCAAATGCAGTTTGACTTTTGAGTGGGCAACTCTCCCAACTCAGCCCAGCCATCCAGCCATCCAGCCACCAGCTGCCGCCACCTGCCACTTGATACGTCTGCAGTGCGCGCACATCTTGGAATTTATTTACTTTTCAGTCGCTCGGCACACTCCATGTGTCATTTTTATCGCACCGTTGCCGCTCCAAGTGTGGCAGCATAAAATTGCCAACTGCATGCACTGCTCGTTGCCGGAGTCGACGTCATTTTCGCTATTGGCATCGCTGCATTGTCGCAGTCGACGACGCGTCGCTACGTTTATGTGACTCAGAATCACTTTGCCAAGTGATTCGAGTTGATTGTGTGGACTCATTACTATAGAGTCTATAGCTATTACACACAGCTTCAGTTGCAGGTGTGTGTGTGTGTGTGTGCGTATTTGGCTTGCGTTATTTCTGACCCACAATAGTCTGATGCTACAACCAGCAGGCAGCCGTCCTCCTGCCGACTGCAGCAAATCTTTTACAATTACTTGTAGTTGAATCAAATAGATTCAACAATTAAATTCTATCATATGCAGGTAGAGATAACTGAGGCTTCTCGCAAATTCAATTGAAAATAGTTTTCCATTTAATTAATATAATGAAAGCAGTCTACCTCAATTTCTACTAAACATTAATTGAAATTTTAGCAGAAAGGCATGCATGCAAAATAAATTATTAAAATAATCAGACTTAATTTTACCATTACAAAGTTGAGGTTAAATAACAAAAGCTAAAATTTCATTTGAAATTAATGTTGATATATTCTTAATGAATATTTTAAAAATTATTTAAATTTAGCTTTAACTTGAAGTTAATTCGAAACTAATTTACATAAATTAATTTTTTATTTAATGCACGCTTGCCGCTTCAACAAATAATTTTCTTGCGCCAGTTTTGAAACTGAAAAACGATTTCCATATTTTTTATGTAACCCGCTAGCTAGTTAGGAGGGCTGGCCTAACCTACTTAAAACTGAGATTTCTTTTTGTTTATGTTGCATTTTAAAATCACAAAAAGAAAACTTTAAAATATGCAAATGCGTTTCCCAGCACAGATTTCATTCAAGCTGAGTGTTGGGAAACGAAAAAAAAATAATAATAAAAAATTAAGAAACACACAAAAGCTGAAGAAAAGTTTCGACCCGTTTAAGTTTCATGAAATTTGTTAACGTTTATGAATTAAACATCAATTAAATATGCAGTGATTATCTAATTATATAATACAATGTTAGAGATGTGTGAAAAACGTTAAATTAATAAGCATAAAATTTAAAAAAAAATCAAATCTGTTTCCACCTTCTGTATTTTATGTTGAAAATCGCAGAACTTGTTGCGAACAAAGCCGGCTAAAAAAATATTCGCAACAATATTTAAGTGCCGATAGCTTTCAGCCCTCTCCCTCTCTCTCTCTCACTCCAACGCCTCAGCGGCGCACATGCAACACCTGAACAACACCTCACCTAAGCTCCGCTATGTGAAAAAGCATAAATAGTTGTTTTTTCCTTATTTCCTTTTTTTTCAAATGTAACTGCTCTCTTCTTTGTTGTAGTAACATGTTGGTTGTTGTTGTTGCTGTTGTAATTTTTCGCATAAATTTACATTAATTTATGCAATTGCATTGTTTTTGTTGTTGCTGCTGCTGTTGCTGCTGTTGTGCACTGCGGTCGCTGCTCGCTTGCCTTTTTTTATCGCTTTTTTATTGTAATTTGTGTTTTTATTGAACACTTTGTGACATTTTACGATTTTCAAAGTGAAAGGTACATATTTGGAAAATTACTATGGCAAAGAAATGAAGTCCGCCAGTCCCAAACAAAAACATGAAACACTACCCCGATCGGGCGTGCTTGACTGCCCGATACCTCGCCATTCATCCCGTGCTGAGTCATATTTGTGAACTATTGCAGCGAGGCTTCATTTATAATCTCAATGCTACGTTTCCTTTAGCATACGAATCCTTTTAGAGTTAGCTGCTTCAGGACACTTTATAGTTTATTACAAAGCCAATCAACTCCACAGACTTATTCGTAGGCAGCACGTACTTGGATCTTGCTTGCTTGACTTTGCTTATTGCTTGCTTGGCCATTTGGCTGATTTTGGTTATATTTATGCAGGCATTGCGAACTGGTTTCTCGGCTTGGCCTTACATTGAAAATTGGGAAAACTGTTCACGTCATTTTCGTGCTTGGCCAAGAAACTATAAAAATGAATGAAAATAAACTAAACTTAACTCAACCTGACTAATACTGAACTGAACAGCCGACTGTATTGATGCATTTTCACCGCTTCAACTGTCAGTCAGCGGCATCATATAAAGGGCAACAACTATTTACAATCTACTTCCGTCATTTTGTATATATACATATGTTATATATATGATTGGGCACATTCTTGGTAATCAAGTAGAAGGTGCCCTGCCTGTAGCTCTTGTCGAGCTCTCTCAAACTCTCATTCTGACACAGCAGTATTAATATATTATTGATAAATATCCCTTGACTACAAGCTCTTTCTCTGCCAAATGTTAAGTGGAACAACAATTTTCATATTTTTACACTAGACAACATAACATCTTCCAAGACGGCCTTTCTAAATTACAAATTTATGAACCAATTAGTAGGGTTAAGGTAATATTCCGACACAGTTAACTGCCACCTGTCAGCGCCTGACTTATTTCCCACATTCAATGTTTTCGCAAGGCTTTTGTCTAACGACAGCAACAAACTTTTATAATTTTCAATCGAAATTGACCCATTTTCATATATAAATTGTAAAATTAATTATGAAATTATGAATGGATAGCTGAAACTCCTTGACGACTCCACTTCACACTTTGGCTTCTTGTCTCGTCTTCAATGAGACATTTGAACATATTTTAAAGTTCAATTACATATATTTATATATAGATATATGTGCATCGTTGGGCATTTGTCAACAAACTCAGCGCGTGCAGCTGGAGTCCGAATCTAACTTGCGAAAGGTAAACAGAAAATGAGCAAAAAAATTGGCGTTTCGCCAGTGAAATGAAAAAAAATGATGACAAAATTTTAAAATAGATGCGCAACATTGGTGGCGCGAGGAGGCGCCACGAAAGGTGGCAGCATGCTGCATGCAACAACTGCTGCTGCTGTTGCTGTTGCTGTTGCATTCAATTTGAATCTAAAATGTCATAAAGCAAATAAATATTTTTGTTCACAAAGCCAAGCGGAAATTGATTTTTAGCACAAATTGCGATTTCAATTTGCAATTTTGCCATCGCTTATTCCTTTGAGCGAAAACTCGATAAAGCTCTTCAAACTGCGCTACTTATAGCGACAATAAATAATATAAACCAACTACTTAGCTAAGAGCTCTACCAATTGATTGACATATAGTATATATATTTATTTATATATATATTTTTAACTTACCTCACTCTACAGTTGCTGTGGCTGCTGTTGTGCAGAGTCCTTCCTACATAATAACTGTAAAGAAATTAATAGAAATTCGTCAATAAACGATATTTTAATGAGAATATAGAAGTTTATTAAGCTAAATAAGTGCAATATACTTTTACTCGATTCCATCTGGTAATTAGTATCTGCTATATATTTACCCAGCGAGCAGTACTCAACCTTGGCTCATCAATCAATAAAGAAAAAAGCTTTTTTTAGTCCAATTGGACACGACAGCGGCAACCTTTGCACCTGGACTCAAGCCGTGGAGAATAGAGGCGAATACTCAAACCGCAACATAATGTTGCAAGTGTTGAATGTGCACTAAGCAGGATATATCCAACACGCATTTGTGCAGCCAAAAAAGGAACTAACCATAAAAATCTGCACATAAATTTAACTGAGGAGAGGCAGCCAATAGCCAGTAGCCAGCAGCCAGAGCAGCTAGCAGCTGGCAGCTGCGACGATGCCAAACATACGCAAATGCAGTGCTCAAATTTATGGCCAAGCATTTCCAGGCAAACAGCGAACAGGCGGTCGCCCACTTCCCCCACTCTTACTCCTAAGCGCCTTCGGCAGTGGCAAATATATTGCAGCAGCTACCGAAAACTTAAGACAGTCTATCAGCAATAAAGTTCATAAATACAAAATATTATTTAAATATTATTAATAAATATAAATTAAATAATATTAATTAATGATAAATAAATAAGAATATTTTAAAATATGAAATGAAATGTAAGAGAAATAATAATTAATACATTAAAAAATAATAATTTATTAAAAATTAAATTAAATAAAATAAAAAACAAAAATAAATTAAAACATTATACATTAATTAAATAATAATAATAATCATTTAATAATATAAAATAACTTTAAATAAAAAATTAAAATTAAAATATAATAGTTAATTACTATTAATTAAAAATTAAATTAAAACATAATAATTAAAAAATATAACACAATTAAAACTAAAAATAAATATTTTAATTTATATAATACAAATAAATACAAATAAATAAATGTTAGTATATAAACTGGGCTTTTCCAGTTTTCTGTCTATCTATTCACTGAGATTTTCCGATCTTCTTATATCTCCTTTATAATCTCAATTACAATAAATCCCCTATTTCATTTGCTTTCTACACAATCGAAATTCTTTTTCTAATTATAACAAATGCAACTGTTTGCAATTATAGTTTTCTCTATATCTACTTTATTATTTAAGTATGCGCTGATAAGTTCTCGTTTAACTTTGCTGCCTTTTATGCTCTGTGAATATTTCGATAGTTCTTATGATAACGCTGAAATGACTCACATCGTTGCCCACGAGCAATATGGGATTCACTGCAAGTGCAACAATAGAGTCATGAATCACATCACAACAGCTCAATCCTCGGTTAAGCCACGCGTCTGTTTACGTTTCTGTCTGTTTGCTTAACTATTTTGCCCGTTGGCGTTGTGAAAAGAGTACATTAGTTTTTTCCCTCCTTTTGAGACTTGAAATTTTAAATCTATACGCATACGATTAAGGATATATAAGCTGACTGAAAGCGTGGCAAATGGGGTGTTACAGTTATATATCTTTCATATCTTTGAATTATTAAATAAATATAAAAATAAAAATAAAACAATAAGAAATAGCTTTAACAAAGTATAATTAAATAATATTAAATACCATTCAAATATAATAATAATTTAGTTACAAAATATTAATTAAATAATATAAAATAAAATTGAGATGAAATAATATTAATAAATAGTATATAAATTAAAAATAATAATGATTTAATATCAAATAAAAATAAAATTTGAATTAAATAATAAATAAATAAAAATTTAATACTTGTTATTAATATAGCTTAATAGTTTCGGCCAGCTCTGCAGATGAAATACTGTCGACCTGATCTACAATTTAGACTGTGAGCAAGTATTAAGTATTCGGTTACACCCAATTGCAGCTTGTTTTTCTGCACCCGTTAACCATAACAATTTCGACTTAAAAACAATAGCTTCGATATACTCATATGTTAAACATACTTGTATAAATTTGTCTAGTTACAAACGTGATCATTGGACTTTTGTATATCGACGGTAACTTTAAACTAAATGGAGTTTAGCGCTTGACTAATAATTGTTATAAGTAATTGTTGTTGCTGTTGTTGTGTTCAAGCTTGTAGATTTACTTATGAATTTTGCAACGTTGCGCATACGCCGCGTTGTACAGTTCGTTTCGTTGCAATTGTAATCAATTTGCTTTTGCTGCTATTTTAATTGTTCACATTTCTTGTTACATATGTCTGAAGCATGTGAACATGTTGCCGCAGTTGCAAGCATAGCCAAGATGCTTGCAGGTTGTTCAATTTATTGTTATTCTTGTCGCTGGGTCTCAGCTGCGCGCCCACATAGCCGTTTAATAACTTGAAGTTTGCAAATTTCACAGCCAATTTAGACAATTTAGGGCACTCACTATTTTCGCTATGCGAAAACACAAGTACAAGCATGTTTAGGTACATTGCTTCATTGCTTATTTGCCTGACTTAAGTTGTTTTAGCTAATTTATCACCAAGAGCTACAGCTTTATCAGAGCTGCTCGGCAAACATTTTATAGATAAAAAACCTAATAATAGGTGATATATTTACTAATGTGATTTAAATATAAACTGACGACTTTACGCAATGTTCATATAAATAAAAATGTCTAAATTAATTTTAGCTAAGACTCATACAATATATTTTTATCAATGCAGTTATCAAGGCATATAACAAGACAGTTGTTTAGTTCGGCTTAACATTTATACTCGTTCACGAACTAAAAAAGAGTATATTGGTTGCATACTGTTGCATACTTTCACTTCGTCTTTACTTTTCATCAAAGCTTTGCGGACGGGCGATTCCTTTACATCTTAAAAAGTCTCCTAGACTTGCTTATAGAGAACTTAAAATTATATCATAATTATTCAGTTATCTATACGCATGTGCCATAAACTACCATTCAATCTATAAATGTCAACTATTAGTCAACTAATGCAAGCTCATTTTGTAGACAAAAGAAATTAGGAATTTCAACAATTTATTGTTAATCATTGCCTGTCTATGATTAGTTGAATTTAATGAAAGTTCCCAACTTCATTAGTTTCTTGGATATTAAAATTTATGGACATTTGATTACAATTGCTTAAACACGCGTTTCTAAGAGCTGTTTGTTTTTGCTGAATACTCATCACGATAATTCGTAAACACTCAAAAGGTTTATGAACCTAACTAGCTAAAGCTAAACAACAACAACAACAATATACATATACATATACATATAAATATATATATATATATAAAACAAAAACGCCAAGAGAAGAAGAAAACCTCTTCAGACGCTGTAAAGAAATCGTATAATTATTTTGTATACAGTTTTTTGTGCTCTTGCGTTTTCGATTTGTTGTTTTCTATATAATTACTATTTTTTTAAACTGTAAAAAAATGTTTAAAAAAGCTAAAAGCAAATGTTCAAAGCATATTAAGCATTACCAATTTGCAAAGTATTGAAAAAAATATTACGAAAAATCATCGAATTTGACAACATCAAATGAATTTTCAGTCACATCCAAATAGGGTTAATCACCCCCATCACCCAATTCTTCATAATCATGTTATATATATATATATATATATATATATATATATATATATATGTATATTTATAAATAAATATATCTGTAAACAATGGCTTAAGCGCACACACATACTAACTGGGCATACACACGACTATTGTTTGCCTCACAGGTATTCTTTTCGCTCCGATACTCACTGGCCATAGCAAATTGCTTTTCAAATGCAATAAAGCGTGATTTACCTCGAAACTGAAGCGTGGCGAGCAACATAAAGCGATCAGCGAAATTAAAGAAAGCCAGCCAACTAGCAGATACTCTCTCTATCTCTATCTCTATCTCTATCTCTATCTCTATCTCTATCTCTATCTCTATCTCTATCTCTATCTCTATCTCTATCTCTATCTCTATCTCTATCTCTATCTCTATCTCTATCTCTATCTCTATCTCTATCTCTATCTCTATCTCTATCTCTATCTCTATATCTATCTCTATATCTATCTCTATATCTATCTCTATCTCTATCTCTATCTCTATCTCTATCTCTATCTCTATCTCTATCTCTATCTCTATCTCTATCTCTATCTATCTATCTCTATCTATCTATCTCTATCTCTATCTATCTATCTATCTCTATCTCTATCTCTATCTCTATCTCTATCTCTATCTCTATCTCTATCTCTATCTCTATCTCTATCTCTATCTCTATCTCTATCTCTATCTCTATCTCTATCTCTATCTCTATCTCTATCTCTATCTCTATCTCTATCTCTATCTCTATCTCTATCTCTATCTCTATCTCTATCTCTATCTCTATCTCTATCTCTATCTCTATCTCTATCTCTATCTCTATCTCTATCTCTATCTCTATCTCTATCTCTATCTCTATCTCTATCTCTATCTCTATCTCTATCTCTATCTCTATCTCTATCTCTATCTCTATCTCTATCTCTATCTCTATCTCTATCTCTATCTCTATCTCTATCTCTATCTCTATCTCTATCTCTATCTCTATCTCTATCTCTATCTCTATCTCTATCTATCTCTATCTCTATCTCTATCTCTATCTCTATCTCTATCTATCTATCTCTATCTCTATCTCTATCTCTATCTCTATCTCTATCTCTATCTCTATCTCTATCTCTATCTCTATCTCTATCTCTATCTCTATCTCTATCTCTATCTCTATCTCTATCTCTATCTCTATCTATCTCTATCTCTATCTCTATCTCTATCTCTATCTCTATCTCTATCTCTATCTCTATCTCTATCTCTATCTCTATCTCTATCTCTATCTCTATCTCTATCTCTATCTCTATCTCTATCTCTATCTCTATCTCTATCTCTATCTCTATCTCTATCTCTATCTCTATCTCTATCTCTATCTCTATCTCTATCTCTATCTCTATCTCTATCTCTATC